TATTCTCAATATATTTCATATCAAATCATAAATAGTCATAATATAAAATGTAATAAGAAAAGAAAAACCACTATTTATATATATCGTTTATACAATAAAATATTATTTCACGTTATAAAGAAGATCTAACTTATTACAATTTTGTTTTGAAATTTACCACAACCACCACCACCACAACAACAACAAACAAAAACTACACCTCTGATACTTTTTTTTTCAAAATCAGAACGAAAAAAATCACTTCGTTGATCTGAAAAAAATTTATATTTGAAAATTTTTGCATTGCAAATGAATTTTTTTTAATTTTTTTTGAAAACTAATCATTGTTGTCAAGACACAAAAAAAACAGAGAAGAAAATCACACAAAATTTCAACAACTTTGAATTAATTAAAATTCTGAAAGTTAAGACAATAAGTGTAACTTTCTTTTATTTTTTTTCTTTGTTAGTTTAAACCCCTTTTATCAGAATTATGCAATTGTTATTGACCTTAGTGACCAGAATATACTTTTATTGTGGGTTTTTTTCTGTTTTTATTTTTAAGCATAAATTATTTTTTGTTTTGTTTGTTTAGCGAGCATTCAATTTAGATTTTTAAGAAAAAAATGGAAAACAATAAAACGTCTAAGAGCTAATCAAAAGAATCGTCAGGGTTATTAGGTGTGAGGAACTATTGTTTGATAAATTAGTGGGTTTTTTTTATTATACAAAATAGCATCCTATTGATTTCAAAATTTTAACTAATTATTTCGGTCATTTCATCTTAATATGCAACTTCACAGAAATGCACATTCACGATCACGTAAGTAGGAATCAGACCTAAAAATTTCGATCTCAAACGCGAACGCCCAACACCATTGGATATCAACTTAGTGATCTAGAGGTTAAGTGTTTGAGTCTTGGCCTCGACCCTTGAGTACGGGACGATGGATGAGCACTTTTGAGTCCCATACTAGGATGAAACTACCATCCAGTGTTTCAAGGCTTTCAATGGTCTAACTTAGACCACCTCATGATCTCAATGAAACTCAATCTTGGTAGATACCAATTCATTGAGAGACTCCTTAATCACGACAGGTAGTAGTTGGAACTAGTTTGAAATTAATTTGGCACAGACAGATATGTAAACAAACTTCCTTATATTTGTCTCAAATCGACCACCTAGTCAATTAAAAGACAGTATACCAGTGACCTCAATAGGATAAAGAAATGATTTGTAGTCATCAAACAACCCATCTTATGGTTGTCCGGAAAAACACTTGTGGCTTTATTTACTACTTAAATTTAGCCAGTAGTTAAGATAGAACAGAATTTATTTCATTATTGGTCATCACGTAAAGGTGTGATGACGGCTTCTGACACTCGGCTACTGAATTGGGAAAATCACATATGTAGAAAGAGAAATAACTTGCAAAGAAGTACATTAACCTTGTAAAGGCTATGTATTCGAACACAACTGGTCGAGTTAGAGCTTATGACGAACTGTCATCAGAATCAATTACCCCAAGTGATGTTCGTCACGGATGTCCACTCTCTCCATTCTTGTTTAACTTTATCGTAAACGTGCTTTTAGAGATAACACTTTCCTTATCTAAATATACAGGGGTTGAACTTCTACCAGGAGATTCACTTGTTGACTTGGAATATGCTGATGACATAGTTTTATTTGGTGAAGACGCTGACAAAATGCAGTCTTCTGACCACTACATAAGCAACAATGCAAGTATGTTCGGCATACGATTCTCTCCCTCGAAATGCAAAATGTTGCTTCAGGATTGGGTTGCATTGACACCCGAACTAATGATAAGGGGTGAAGTAATTGAGCGTGTCGATCGCTTCACTTAACTTGAAAGTCTCATCAGCCCTTGTGGTCTGGTGTGTGACGAAATCTCAGCACGGATACAGAAGGCTCGACTAGCTTTTGCCAACTTGCGTCATTTATGACGTAGGCGAGAGATCCGTCTGTCAACCAAAGAACGAGTTTACTGCGCAGCAGTTCTTTCCGTCCTACTTTATGGTAGTGAAACATGGACTGTAAGAGTGGAGGGTATTCGTAGGTTACTACTGTTCTATTACAGGTGTTTTCGAAACATTACTCGTGTATCTTGGGATCACCGAGTAACTAGTGCATTTGTTAGGAAACGGGTACTAGGTAGGGATGGCAAACCAATTGATGAAATAGTGAAACTTGAGATGGCTGGGACACGTGTTACGTATGCCCAACTACTGACTGCCCCGACGTGCGATGTTTTATAGTGTATGAGTAGGTTGGAAGAACCTAGGGGCAGCCATAACAAAACATGGCATAAATCCATGAAGTCACTGACAAGTGGATTTAGACATGTTGGTAGGTGTAGACTACCTGGTTGGGATTCACGAGACAATGGCAACCGATGGTTAGAGACCTTGAATGATATGGTTCAAGATCGTTTGTAATGGCGCAGGTGCATCCACTCTATGTGTTCTCCCAAATTCTAATCTTCTGAATTCTTCATGTCTCTTATTTTCTTTTAAAATTTATTTCACTTTATTATACTCCTTGAATAGCATCTTCAAACCCTAATGTTTTCGATTACTGCTCATATTCTTACTACCTCCATCACTACGGGATTTGAATCGAAAACTGCATCTCTGTGCGAATGTGGTATGACAACTCGGACTGATGTACGTATGTACGAAGTTCTACATTCTTACTGACCAACTGACTGAATTTACTTTTGAATTTATTAATGAAAAATATGACTGATATTGATGAATATTGTTTAATTTATCTAATTGGATTTATTTCTTTATTCTCTTTTTTTTGTTGTTACAAATTTTAGAGCTTCACCAATATCTCAAGCAACAGCATATTTTTTTCAAGTAATATGCTTTATTGTTTACATCATATTCATAGGTCATTCAAAAGATACCAACTTTAGTAAGTCATTAAAAAGAGAAAGAAATTAAGTGATATTCAAATGTCGAATTACTTATTATTACTGTTATCAATCAGGTCAATTATTGTTAATATTATACATAATTTATACATAGGTGTTTTTTACTACTGAATTATTTCAGTATAATAAGTAACATATTCAGTATCAAAATAAAAAATAACATGATTTACATTTTATTCTATTTTCAATCTGTTCATCAAGTACAAATAGCTTTAAGTAACTAACATAGTTTAAACCTTCGTTGTTTAATAATGTTTAAAATAGGACAAAAATTGGGAAAAACAAGAATGAAACAGAAAATATGAAAGTTATTAGTTAAGATTAGTAAATAATCATATGTTGAAATGGACTTCCGATGCGGAAAGAGATGAGGTTATAATCATTAATGATTATAACTGCGTCAAAATGAAAATATAAAAAACACACAAATTGAATACATCCTGTTAATGGTACTCATCACAGATTGATCATAGTTTTGGTCCTATTATAAATTAAAGAAGTTAATTGGATCACTATTTTATTGTAGTTTGATATTGCTCACTGGTGACCACCCGCGAATTCACCGGTGATCGATTCTAGAACTTATGTCTTGTGTGAACATTTAATTGCTAGAACTACGGAGTTAAGGTCTACTATCAGAAATATCTAACTTTAACTAATCCAGAGTAATATCATATCAGCCACTAAAAACTTATTCTATGATAAGTTCCCAAATTTATAAAGGAGTTCAGTGATTTTAACACTGAAACAGTCATCAACTGCGACATTCATAGAAATTTCTCATTTAAAATTTATGGTCGATGTTTTTAAAGAAAGTTCCACAAACTTTTAATGTCTACTTCTCCTGGATTAAACAGTATCAACCTGTCTACTTTTCCAAAAATAATCTCAAGTGCATGATATAACGTTTAAGGTTTTCTAAAACATCTTAAGAGCGGATACAGGGCCGTTAAACCAGTATACTTTACAGTTTACCAACATTAAAACGATCGCAAAAGAGGAAGAATATGGTATATTTGTTGAGATGTATTGCTATTGAAAGAAGTAAATGAAAATAAAACAGCTAGAGACGGTAGGAAGAGCTTGTACAAGAAACACAACTAAATAATGTCCTGAATGGTATGGAAGCTTGACTTTACATCCTAATTATTAGAGATTATTTGAGCAAGTTCTTTAAAATTTTGACTGGTTTGATAGAAATGTCAACAAGGAAAATGCGACTCGATGCCGACCAAATTCCACGCACATTACTACATTAAGCGGAAAACTACTGGGCAAAACAGGAGTTCAAAACATCTCGACATGGATGTACACAAATTCAAAAGTACTTTTGTAAGCTATCTTGAGGGATGGAACCGACCGCAGCAAATGGACACTAGTACAACTAACTTTTAAGTCTTTATTTTTCGATGTCCTCATTTTGATTGTCCGCAAATTTTATTTAAAAATACTACAACGCAAATGAGAGAGCTGCTTTGAACCTAATAAGAATAACCATCTGATATAGTGAAATGGAGAGACTATACTCAAAACACTACAAATATATCAACTTATTTGCAACAATCATTAATAAGTCACAAGACCAGGAAATCGGTCTACTTGAAAATTCCAGGTCACTAGCAACCTTAACGCAGTGAGCTGAACACTATACGTTGTAAATGTTACATTATTCAAGTAAAAGATCATAAGGCCGGAACGAGCGCTTTATGTAAGAGTGAATTTTCAATTGTGAGAAATTTATGATGTTATGATGATATTGCTTTTTAGAATATGCAAGTAAGCTGTGCTTGGTTTAACGGAATCCCCACAATAGCTTAAACAACAAAATGTAATATCATTCGTTATAATACATGGCTACTGCATTTCGTCAAATAATACTTTGCTAAAATTCAAAAATTGCAGATGAAAACCTAAAGCAGTCACAGTAATACACATGCAAAAAGATACTAACTACATGTTATGGGTAAAATTAAGACTAAACATCAGTGCTGCAGTATAACATATTTTTATCGAACAGAAAATAAGGATACTGTACAAATTCAAAATATCAAAAGATAATCAATCATGTTTTCTCTTTGTCTGATACTTCAGCTAAAGCAGACCCAATACCGAGACGTTCTAATTCTTCCGTCAGTTTCCCGGAACGATGCATATCTAAAAGAATATCGCAACCACCAATAAATTCACCGTCAAAATATAACTGAGGGAAAGTGGGCCAGTCAGCAAACACTTTAGCAGCAGCTCGTAGGTCTTCATTTTCTAAGACATCATACGATGCGAACAGATCTGGATCATCTCCTTTACTTGCTTTTTCTAGAATTCCATGCATTTCTAGGATACGACAAACAGCATTGCTGAAACCACATCGTGGTTCATTGGGATTCCCTTTCATAAAAAGCACAATACGACTTCCTTTTACTAAATCAGAAACATTGTTTACAGAATTGTCTGATGGGGTATTAGAAAACTGTCTACTGATAGCATAATTGAACTGAGAGAAAGTTGGTGACGCGACAAGATATTTTGTAGACTGAAAATGTGATACAAGCAAAAATAATGCATGAATAAATATGATTAGTATTATAATGGAGTGGGACTATCACTTACATTTTTATTATTGTACAATAATTAGACATTTGGATTATTGTACATTCATATTATCCTAGCTGCAAGCTTTTGTCTGGTACAGAAAATATTGTTTTGCTTTTTTTCCTTAAGTTACTGTTAATTATGGACCTATTATTTCGATCTCTTCCAAATACGGTATACCTATGTCCATACTGTGATTTCCGATTTATGTTTATGTGCAGTCTGAAAATTAGTCTATACAGTTCACATTAGCTTGAGTTATCAATTCAACTGTAAAAATAGAAGTCATTTATCTACTGAATTGTTGTTCTATTCTGGCTATCGGGCAAGCAGGCGTGGGAGAACTATGTTCTGAACCAATAGGCTTTAAGTATTAATCATGGCTGTTATCTCAACATCATCGAATTGTTAGTCAAAGGAAGGTCGTCGTGTCATTTGGTTAGCAGATCATCAGGTTTATATAGGCGATCTAGATGATGAACTCAATACTCGGACGCGATCATACAGCTGAACATTGAATTACGACCTACTCACATGGGATCTTAACGAGTATAATGACCTGCAAAAGTGTACCTATCGCTAAAATGGTTGCGGATAAATTTTAACTAGAAAGTTTACAACCAAAAGCTTTGTGAATCCGATTAAGCTACAAACTCCAAAAACAATAAATTTATTGTTTATTTTCTAGACATAGGCATTTTCAAACAAATCTTATTTTTACAGAATTACACAGATACATATATAAAAGTGTTTGGACATACCACTGCAGCCTTCAAAGATGAAGCTTTCAATGAACCGCCAAGTGAAGTCAAAAATCGTACAGGAAGCTTCAATACGAACCCCATTTCTCTAGGGTAAGACAAAAAGAAACGAAATATCCGAAGGTTATTAGAATTCCCTATGGGTAACATATTCATGACTAAATTGTTTGGTTACTTTCGGGACATGAAATGAGAGGATCATCATTTCAATGTGACATATGTTATTCATCCTAATTAATTATCAGTAAGGGGTTGTGTAACTTGTTGAATTTCATTGACATCAAGAAACGATCCCGCGGGTGGGATCGTGGGTGGACACTGTTGGAGAGTTCCGTATTACGATAAAACGGCTGTCCAGTACTTCCATGTTTTCAGTGGTGCTCTAACTTAGATCGGTTCATGATTTCAACATAATTATCACTTATACACCAATTTGCCCCCCAATAATTTTTCTGTTTCTTAATTAGAAGTTCAGTCATATTACTTTGAGGAATCTAGATAGTATATTCAATCTATATTGTTTAAATAGTCTATTTTCCCATTTTCGTGATTAAATATTGCATCACGCCAGTGTGATAGCAGACATAAAAAAATTTCTAGCAATAGAAATATAATATATTATAGTTCACCTAGAAACTTAAACACAACGAATTCGTCTCAAACAATTAACACCAGATTTCATGGAAAACTCAAATGAAGGCAACACGACAGTTGATACACATTTTCTACGTGTATTCTCTGTCAAAACGAGTAACAAATGCATCAGAATCCACACACATGAATTAGACTTCATTGTAGTGGTTTCAATTTCGGTCTAAGAATTTCCTACTGGAACTACATTTATACTATTCCATAAAGTGATTATTATTTTTACCAATAAATTTTCACATGAATCGTTAACCTTGTTATCGAATACCTGTGCCCACTATTATTCATGTACACTACTATTCGCGAATATGGATTTGTTATCCTCTTATTTTATTTTAACACATAAATATTGGTACAAGGAGGCACCGAATACAAACGCGCCACACAAATCTCACTTGATATGTGTCAGGGCTGTGATACTGCCTGGGTGCCCAAACCGAAGCAGGTGGTTTTCTTAGGGGGCCACTCCCCGAGCCTTTGACCTGAAGGTCTGATCCACAAGGCAGTGGAGCATCGTAAGAAGATGCAGTCTCATGTTAGCTAGTGACCAACGATTGGTTCATACGCCATTTGCCCCCAAATGCCCTGGTACGGCCGAGAGTGGGGAGATTCCGCTCTCCCTCTCGAAATACTCTCACACGGCCACGCGTATATAGCCTCTGCCAGGGAAGTCCTACTCACTGCCTTCTCGTGGCGGGGGTGTTGTTTACGAAAATGAGAGGACGAAAAGCGAATGTCCGGCGCTTTAACCGGATTCCAAACCAATGGTGCACATGGGCTCCAGTATCCTGCGGGAACAAATGGCGAATGAACCAATTGTTGGTCACCGGCTTCCATGGGACTGCATCTCCTTACGATGCTCCACTGCCTTGTGGATCAGACCTTTGGGTTGAAGGCTCGGGGTGTGGCCCCCTAAGAAAACCACCTGCTTCGGTTTGGGCACCCGGGCAGTATCACAGCCCTCACACATATCGGATGAGATTTGTGTGGCGCATATGTATTTGGTGCCTCTTTGTACCATTATCTATGTGTTGAAATAATAATAATCAGGATTCTGGAGCCCATGTATACCATTGGTTTGGAATCCGGTTGACGCACCGGACACTCGTTTTTCGTCCTCTCAATTTCGTATACAACACCCCCGCCACGAGAAGGCAGTGAGTAGGACTTCCCTGAGAGAGACTATATACGCGTGGCCATGTGAGAGCATTTCGAGAGGGAGAGAGGACTCTCCCCACTCTCGGCTGTACCAGGGCATTTGGGGGCAAATGACGGGACGGCGAAGGAGGTCCTCCCGTCCCACTGGTTAGGCAGGCCACCCACCGTAGCAGGCGTAATTTCCGGTAACGAAGTAACCACCTCCATTGCCCAACTACCCTCTTATTAGCAAAGTAAATATACCAAAGTATTGTAAATCAATAAGAATTTTATAATGAATTAAAAATTTAAATAATTACTTACGAGTTGCACAGTTGCTTGAAATTCCCTTACTGTCACAATTTACTATTATCTATAATAATGATGAATGAAAAATATAAATGTTTATGTGAATATGGTGTGTTTATTTGGAATAAATTAATTTACAAAGCAATAATCAGATTGAAAACTAATGAATCAATATCCCATAAAACCATAGTTCACTTTATTAATGACTGATTAACAGACAAAATCATTCATTCAGAGACGAAAATAACAGTCAGACAGATATCAATTAGGTAAACAATTAAAACAAGCATCAACAACCAAAACAAACAATCAAACTCATCATTCACAAAATCAATCATTAAAGTGAAACCTGGTTAGGATTCAGATGCGCAGAATCATCACATTATAAATATAACAAAAAATAAATGTGAATATATTATATTATCAATAATGCACATACTAGAAATCAATTTGAAGTACCATACACACACAGAATTCCGTGAAAAGAATTAATTCTGGAAAGAAAAGAAACGACGAAAAAAATACAAGTAAGAATTTAAGACATTTTAAATACAGACAAACAATTAAGACTGAAAACATTTTTTTTCTCCAATATTAACCAATTGTACATATTATTAAAATCAATAAATCAAGATCAGTTAATTATTACTTTGGAGATTATGTTCAATTATTGTAATCTATAGAATATAAACTAAATTAAAACCAAGATCATTATAGAAAGTCAAATGTAGATATTGAATAAACCACAAAGAATAACAAATAGGTTGTAAATTATTTTTCTGTTTATCTGTCCATCTATCTGAAAAGTATAGTTATAAATATTCTCTTTATTTTTTTCCTTTTTACAAACTTTGTCAAATTAATCACTAGGTACATACTTACTGGAACTACAACATATAAATTGGTAGAAAATTCATATTAATTAGACGATGGCTAATAAATTTGAAGAATGCTGAAAATAAATAGGTGACAGTATTGAACTTAATAGAATCAGTATATATTTCGATGGAGCAACAATCTTTCAGTAGGTTAAGCGTTCGCGCGCAAGATTGAAGGCCCTGGGTTCGAATCTCGCGAGCGGGACTATGGATGCGCACTGCTGAGGAGTCCCATAATAGAATGAAACGGACGTCCAGTGCTTCCAGGTTTCCAACAGTGGTCTAACATCAATCGGTTCATGATCTTAATCAAAAACTTAATAATCTCAACAACCCCTATACTGATAATCTTTCAGAAAGTTTTTGGTTCATAAAACATAAAAGTGACATTTAAAGCCCTACATATATGGGAGAATCCAAACAATAAAAATAGAATAGAGTACAATAAACTGTCCTATTAATAAGTAAATCTATATCTTATCTTAATACTTTTAATTTGTCTCATATTGTATGGAGAATAATGATAAACTTTCATTTGTTAATTGGTCTAAATATATAATGACCAACCAACTTGTTTAACAGAGCAATACAAACATTTATTTCATACGTTCTGATTCTTTGATAAAGTAGGAACAATATTTGCAGAGTAAAATGAATTCATTATGGTTTAACGCTTTTCATCAGTTGTAAATGGTTTAAATTCACATTAATAATGTTATTCTAAAGAAATTTTATTACACACCATAATCAATCAAGTTTAGTTCAGAGGGACTTAAGTAACCAGAAGAGGAAGCAACATGTTTAATATTATATATATATCATAAAATAAGAAAAAGGAGTGAAGTTGTAAAATATAAAAGAGACAATCAAAAGAAACAAGCTTTTAACAAATCAAGGGAGCTAGTTGACATAAAATTCAAGTTAATTTTGTTAAAATACTAATAATAATGTAAATCTAGGCCATTTGCATCTGATGAGTAGCCCTGAAACAATGAAAACTTTTATTTATTTATCCTTATATTATGTATGTTGTGACAAGTTTGATTTATAACACCTAATCAGATCATCTAATTTCATCAACGACTATAACCTAAGGACATGTTTGGTTAATGGATTTTTCAAATATCATATCAGATTTACATACTACACACACATACATACACAGTTTCATCACATTTCACAGCAAATGACGCACACTCATACAACATTATTCCTATGACTGGACAATTTGTTCAGTACATGATTTGAAACTTAGACCAGACTACTGAGTGAAATGCTGGATTAATTTAAATTGCTATTTTTCTACACATACACTTTCCTTTTTATGTATTATAGTGAATCGGTCCTATACCACTATGAAACTATTTATTCATATTTAAAGGAAAATTCTTAAGAAAATTGAGTTATACTTATTCTGAAAAGCCATCATGAACACGTCACTTATCAATGTCATTAATCTGTTAAGTTGCAATTCTAATCAAAAACTAGCCTAAGGATAAGGTACTAGGGTGAATTGTTGGAATTGTGAACTCCAGGATGTTAGCGAATATCAATAAGAAATACGATAAGTTATATATATCGAGTGATAGAATCAATTAACTGACGTTTAGAATCTCAACTATTGTATATATAATATTTTGAAAACACAGATATGGTAGAAGTAGATGTGAAATGGTATGTAATATCAAATAATCTAATGATTGAAGAAAATACCCAATATTTCCACATTTTAATAGTAATCCAATTGATGCTTAAACTATCTGGAGAACTGCTGATAAAGAACTAGTTAATTGATTATCCTAAATATTAAAAAAAAACAATAAAATTGGAGTTGAAAAGCATGAACTCAAGGATGACTGACCGACTACTTACAACATAAAAAATTACTCAGCTGGGAAAGAAATACATATTTTTAAAATGTAACAGATAGTCCATCTAAAAAATCAATAAATGGTAATTATAGATTATGGTAAACTTAATATGTCGACAAAAACAAACACACGAACACAAACAGACACACAATGAGTAAAAAACAAGAAACACTCAATATAATGTTTTATTTCTATGAATTAGATATATTGAATTTTGTCAATAAAAATCATACAACTGAATAATAAATATTGTAATACTGTCTATATTGATCCTGGTATTTGTTTTACTGAACAATGGACGGGGTGATCAGCTCTAGATGCATCAAATGAGAACGTAGGATAATTTTCGTCTTAGAAAGAAGGGTTCAATTCTCTTGTAGGTACTAAAATAAAACCTAGTGTCAGAATACATAAACATGCACACAAAGTAGAATGAACCTAAATCATTACGACTACAAGACAACAATAACAACAATAGTACATTATTACGTATAAACAGATTTATGTATAAAAAAGGGGGGAAATCCACAACATTAAAATGATTATGTGAGATAGTAGGGGGGAACAGTAAAAAGAAACGGAGATAAAAAGGAAACAGATTAACTAAATAGTGAAAATAGTAAACCAACTTTATGCAAATAATAGAGACAACAACAACATCAACAATTTAGATTTAATCTGACCAAAATTGTAAATGTCACAAAAACACACACATAAAATGATACTAAAAATAATAAAATAAACGAGGCAATGAAATGATAAGTTTCAATGAAAAATAACAGGAGATGAAAGTTACACATCTCCAAGACCAATTGCAACTAAACATGTTTAATTCACATACAATTTATGTCATAATATCAAGTATTCGAAAAAAGGAAAGAAAAATAAGCAAAACCAGGTGAAAATGAATGAATATGAAAATAAATCTATACATATTTTATAATCGGAATCCGAGAATATACACACACTTCCAGGCTCTAAAACGTTTTTTGTCTGTTCATCTATCTGAAAAATATTAGTTATAATAACATTCTCTTCATTTCTTCTTTTTTGTACATAGAAAGTTAAATCATGTAAGAGGCAGTCAATTGAACTTGTAGTAAAATACACATTATTAAAATGTGTCACCAAAACTATAACCACTGACTCTACTATTCAAACTTTGTCGACTTCCATGAAAACTGAATTGTTCAAAATATGGTCCATCGACAATTCGATTCATATTATCTTCATCATCGTTTGGAGGAGTCAAATCGACTGACGTATCCTTGAATTCATCTGGGACATATTTTGTGTCTTTTTCATCGACCACGTCTGGTTTCCATGGTGGTTGAATATCTCTGAAAGTGTAGATCAGTAAGTAAATAGGTGTTTTAATATATATATATATATATATATATATATATATATATATATATATATATATATATATATATATATATTAGTTTTGCCCCCAAATGCCCTGATACGGCCGAGAATGGGAAGAGCCCGCTCTACCTCTCGAAATACTCACACATAGCCACGCGTACATAGCCTCTGCCAGGGAAATCCTACTCATTGCCTTCTCGTGGCGGGGGTGTTGTTTACGAAATTGAGAGGACGAAAAGCGAATGTCCATCGCTTCAACCGGGTTGGTGGACACAGAGAGTCTACCTAGGGGAGTTAGAAAACCCTGACTCCAAACCAATGGTGCACATGGGCTCCAGAATCCTGAAGGAAAAAATGGCGTATGAACCAATCGTTGGTCACTGGATTCCATGAGACTGCATCTCATCACGATGCTCCATTGCCTTGTGGATCAGACCTTCAGGTCAAAGGCTCGGGGAGTGGCCCCCTAAGAAAACCACCTGCTTCGGTTTAGGCACCCGGGCAGTATCACAGCCCTCACACATATCAAGTGAGATTTGTGTGGCGCGTTTGTATTCGGTGCCTCCTTGTACCAATATTTATGTGTTAAAATAAATAAATAAATTATATATATATACGGTTAGCAAGCCATGGATATGAAATATTCTTTCCCGAAGAAAGACGAAACAAAATAACAAATTTATAAAATCACGTGAGTCGTATTTGTCATTAAATTTATAAGTTAAATCTTAACAACCTAGCAAACTATGTTGAAATGTCGTCCCTGAGAAAATAGTCACTGAATGAAGCATGTACAATTCATTTGTATTAGTTTAAATCTTCCCACTGGTGTTTATGATTGCAATTGATCAGTCTCATTTCGCATATGTGTATCCTGTACGAATTGTCACTAATTTAAAAGCACTATAAACAGAGATGGATAGTGGCTAGCAGTGGGATCCAGGACAAAACGCTCATCCTGGATTCCACTGCTAGCCACCATCCATCTATGCTCATAATGAATATGACTTAATGACAAAATCGAGGCGGTCCGCACAGGATACACATATGTGAAACAAGACTGATCAACTGCAATCCTAAACATCAATGGAAAGATCCAAACAACCAATGCAAATGAATAATTTTGATAGTTGTATTCGAAACAAAAATTAACATTACTATAATAAGTTTTCTGGTTACTAATTTAAACAATTGATATATCTCGAATAAAATGAAAATGACAAACTAGAAATACATACATACGACATACTTTCTTATTAAACGATCCCAATCGACTGACGCAAAAAACAAATGTGCCATAACTTCCAAAACATCCTGTACTCCACCACCTAATCGACTTGTTGGATCTTTAATTAAAAGTCTAGACAAGATATCTTGAGCTGGGTGTGAAAGACGGGCTGGGAAGGAGACATTCTCCTAAAGCATTAAAAATGACAAAATACGATATAATCTGAATGACCATTACTGCCAAAATATTTGCATAAAAATTCAGTCAGTCAGTCAGTCAGTAACAACGTAGAACTTAGTACGTACGTACATCAGTTCGAGTTGCCATACCACATTAGCACAGAGATGCAGTGGTCGATTCAAATCCCGTAGTGGTAGAGGTAGCAAGAGTATAAGCAGTAATCGGGAAGATTAGGGTTTGGAGATGATATTTAACGAGTATAATCCAGTGAAATAAATTTGGAAAGAGGAAAAAAAAGGGGCATGAAGAATTCAGAAGATTAGAATTTGGGAGAACACAAAGAGTGGATGCACCTGCGCCATTGCAAACGATTTTGAGCCATGTCATTCAGGGTCTCTAACCATCGGTTGCTATCATCTCGCGGTCCCCAACCAGGTAGTCTACACCTACCAACATGACTCAGTCCACTTGTCAGTGACTTCATGGATTTGTGCCATGTTTTGGTCTGGCCGCCCCTAGCTTTCTTCCAACCCACTTGATACCTACTACACAGAATATAAAATTCAAACTATTAAACGCTTGATATAGTAAGATATTTAGATTTGAGTCATAAAAAAGTGGCAATCATTGTCAAAAGACAGAGCGGAGACCACATATTCGATACCGCCTCTTCATTTTTACATTTACAATTGTCATGGTTAATGTGAGGGTTCTGACAAATTCTGGATGTTTAAATGAACTAGGTAGTTTTCTCAAGAGATTGCCTTACATACTTTATCTACAGGGTAGTGAGAAGATACCAGATACAATGTCGTGATAGCTGGTTGTCAAGGTAGGGACTGGGCCTTAAGGTTAGTATGGATCACTTGTCTGGAATCAGGGATTCCTAACTCTTTAAAGTAAACCTTTCGTATCCTTCGGCTATGTCTAACCACCAAACGTCTGTTTCCGTTCTAGTATTGCAGGAACATCTTACCAAAGTTAGTGGAGTAAGTAGGACTATTCATGAGAGGCCGAAGACGCATGATTTAATGATATCATGCCAAGTAGGAAAACACTATTTCCACTCTTGGTAATATAAGAGCATGAAAAGACACGTACAGCAAGCTTGATCAGGATTCAGTCACTTGTGACACATCTAACTTCAGTGAGATATTCATATCTACCAAAACATTTCCCAAAAATCATAATACTTCACTTTGTCTTGCTAAGAGTGAATAACATGTGGATGACGAAAGGTTGGAAATATGGCTCATTAAGTGATAGGAATTACGTATGTTTCTCATCGATAAACTGATAAGATGTTTCAAATTTTACAATCCAAAAGGATTTTCTAACTTTTCGGTAAGTATGAACTTCGATTGAGACATAATTAACAAATATAGATGTACAGCTGACTAGCAATTATTATTGATAAAAGAAACTTAAGTCATGATATGATCGCTTTTACATTCAGAAAAAAATGAGAAAGTTTGGTATTTCTGAATAAAGACAACAGTGATTTGGCAAAGCGATAACAAACTGAAATCTCTATTATTTTGAAAAATAAAAATAAAAAAACAGAAGCGTACAATGATAACAAAATTCAGTTACGGCTAACTTACTTGCAGTATTAGTTCAAACAAAACTTCATGATCACTTGAGTAGAATGGTAAACGTCCACACATCATTTCATACATTACTACGCCAAGGCCCCACCAATCAACTGAACGCCCATAATCGTTATCCAATAAAACTTCAGGTGCTAAATATTCTGGTGTACCACAAAATGTTTTAGTTGATGCACCATAGTACATGTCTTCTTTGCACAGACCAAAATCAGCGATTTTTATATGACCATCTTTATCCAACAATAAATTTTCCAATTTAAGATCCCTGGTCAAGTTAGAGCAAGAATAAAAAACACCAAGTGTTGTAACGATTATTCTCGCTCAGAAATAAAATCCTTGAATATAAAAACAAAAATCTACTGTAAGAACTGTTAAGGCTTCGAAGGTAAATGAAGGGGTCAATACACTGAACTAGTTCACAGTATATTGTCCAATCAAGTATCCATGAAGTGTCTTGAAACAACACCTTATATTTGCAAACAGAAAAAAGTAAATATTCGTGCTTGCTTGCTTGTTTTAGACAGAAATGTGTTAGTTATCTATTCCAATTTGATAAAAGTTGTTAGGTAGCAGACCCATAATTCAATTTAAACTACGAGTTACCTTTAAAAGCATTTGACCATATTTCTCTCTCCATCTAACCAGGTTCACGTAACATGTTATTAAAGAACAAGTGTTTCAGTCAATATGTCTTGATCAGGTCGTCATAATATATAAGTTTAAACTGTGTCAAAGTAAAAAGCTACATTTGAGAAAAAGTACTATCCCCGAGTACTTCTTAAAATCAAAATTACATGAAGTATAACTTATAAAGAAAAAACAAAGATTATGTAAATCATTATATATAATTGATTTCGAAGGTATTTTTCTCCTTACCTATAAACAACATTCTGGTGATGTAAATAACCTAAAGCCAGAGTAATTTCTGCACCATAAAATTTAGCTCTTTCTTCTGAGAATACACGATCGCGTTGTAGATGAAAAAATAATTCACCACCATTAACATATTCCATAACAAAGCATAAATAATTAGGTGTAGTAAACGAATAACGTAGCTCTGTCATAAATGGATGTTTGCATTGTTGTAGCACACGATTTTCAGTCATTGTATGAACAACTTCTTCTTTCTGTTATTATGTGGTAGAAAACAATGTAAAAAAAATAATGAACCCACGCGATAATAATAATAATAATGACAATAATAGTAAACAGTAATCATTGTTAGTTTTAAAAAAACCATAACAATTGTTGCTATATAAAAATAGTTTATCAGGTGTCTAACAGATAACAATTGATGTAATGCTCTGTTGAATGTACGAAGTAATATGGTTTATAACTTCAGGAACATGAAAAACAAGTTTAATTTTAATGCAACTTAATAACTAAGCACAGATTCATAAGCTCAGACATAAGCGAAACTTCACTGATACTGTGCATACTACGTGTGTCGACAGACATCAGCAGTATGTAACACCGATCGGAAGTGGAAAACCTGGCAGCAGAAGGCTAAGAAGATCGAGTTGAAAAGAACACAAGGAAAAATAGAGAGGAATTGAGAACTTGAAGAATCATACAGAATATGAAGGAGAGATGATGAAAATTTGCAAATAAAGTATTCAGTGTATGATTCTTATATTTTACCAACATACTGTAATTTCGTATTTACATTGGTTGTTCCTGCATGTGTTCCTGTTCATTACAATACTATCTAATTGTCTAAACTGAAATAAGAGAAAGTAGGTTTTTAAACTGTGTATCCAATGGCTGATAAATTCACGAAATATAAAAAACCTGTAATATGCTACATTTCAAGGCAATCGATGAAGGCTCCTAACTTTTAGTTACTAGTATTTATTAGATCTACCCAACTAAAATTCAGGTGAAAATAATAATCATTTAATAGAATCAAACACATAGACTGGTAAAATTACAAATAATAATTATGACCATTCGACTTACTTCAATAAGTACAGATTTCTTTAGTATTTTCATAGCGTAAAAATGACCTGTTTCATTTTCTTGACACAAAATCACTTTTCCAAAAGTACCTTTCCCTAAAACTTTTAAAAGTCTGAAGTCATTTACAGAATAACGTTTCACAGGCCTGCAATTTGAAAAAAATATTAAAATGTTTAAAAAACATAATCAAAATAGATGGAAAACAAGTAACAATATCTACGATATATGTGGATAGTTGGAGTTATGTAGAATAAAAATAAGAGTAGTGAGGGAATAAAACGGTTGTAAGCAGCGATAGAATTACGATAATAATAATAATAATAATAATAATAATAATAATAATAATAATAATAATAATAATAATAATAATAGCGTACGAAAGTATGCACGGTTATGCACGAAAATAAATAAGGCAATGAGTACCGAAAATCAAATCAAGTCAATGGTTATAATTTCAATGAGCGACTGTAAAAAACATAGTTCATTCATGCGCCATAGATTAGACTACATTAGTAAAAGTTATTTTAAAGTAAGACAAAAGGGTTAGACAGGTTTATCATTAAAAGTTATTAGACACCAACTAGAGGTCATCATCACATGCTTTGTATTCAACTGACAATGTATATGATGTATTTTTGGATGTAATTACATAAGCCAGACAAGGAATAAAATATTTTATGCATTGTGAGTATTTTACTGACTAAAAGGTAAGAACAGACTCTCAATGTCATTATACAAAATATATACATATCTGGTTGTGAACAGCAATGAAAAGTGACCTAGAAAATATTATCTACAACCTCTAGTTTTCATGTACAAATTGAATAACAATCCAAAAGCACTCGATACAGTTCTGATACGAAATCAGTGATAGTAAACTATCCGATTTTCCTAAAGTATGTTTTGGCCTGTTCTCATTGCAACCTTTAATTCAACATCCGGATCGGTCCGGTATATGCACTACGCGTTTTAGCTGTCTAAAATATTGTCATCGTAATTTGAACGATGTTTTAATGCATGGAAAAGTCACATCTGTGTGACTACATGTAAACTTCACAATTTAAACTGTACTTCAATCCTAACCTTCGCAAGGTATTTTTTTGTAGAAAAAATTTGCAAATATAAGAAAACTTACTTGGGTACTTTCATCCGTGATTAGCTACATATACGGAGGGTTGATTTGTCTCAAATAATTAGCACAGATAAACTCCTAGCTAAATTATGTGTTTTATCAGCCTAAATAGTACTTCATAAACCCAAATATGTGATAATCATCGATTTTTTAATCTAATGATAAATCATGTTTTTATGTTTAAACTAACCTCTGAGGAATATCAACGATCATATTTTCAGCCAAATCTAAACTGTGTACGGATACTGGCTGCTCAAATGATGATTTGAGCCGATTTGCGACGCTTTGAATTGCGCTAAGCCAATAATTTCTTTCTGCTTCCGTCTCGACAAAGAATAAACGTTCCACTACATTGGTCCATTGTAAACCACGAATAAGAAATGTGTATGGTTTTGGCTTGTTTAAACATATAATTTGACAGTCGCGAACAGTGAAATTATTTAACGGTTGCGCCATATCATCCTAAAAACACAAATGTTGGCAAACTACGCATTTTAGTAGACGATATCTACTCATTAGACTTATTATATTTGGAGAAATAAATATATAACTATCACATACTGATCTACTTGTCACTTAACAGACAAATTAAATATATCATGTTAGTCGATTGAAAAAGTGTCACTCGTGGGGATTCACTAATTTGTCAAACAAGGAAGACTTTTGTGAATAATTTAATTTACTAGACAATCATCTTTTGATTTGCATAAAATAGGAAACAAAACAATATTAGACAAATATAACTCCTAAAACACAATATAGCCATAGTTCTGAATGTAAAAAAAGAAAATATTAGACAGCTTGTAATTGATGCTACGATACAATACGTTTTATATGTATAATAGGTTACATTTAGTTGTTACACACTTTGTCTGTAGTTTGCTTCTTCGGCCATCAACAAAGTTACGTTCTGACAACAAAAATACACAAACTTCATTGAGCAAACTATTAAGATCATACTTTACAGAACTGCGTTGACTCCATGAACTTAATAAATGACTGAGATGACCAGGGATAAGGTAATAAGCTGAGAGTTAATGTGATGTATAATAATAAAGAGTTCACAATAACCAAAACTTCCCCAGGTACATCCGATTCGCTTTCGATACATGAATAATGATTGAGATTATGTACTGTTATTGAAGAAGAACAGTAATAGTTAATCATACCAAGATAAATACAAAAATAGCTCGAAACAAATTTGAAACCAACTTTAGGTTGAATTTTATATCCATAAAATGTCCCATCTTCCCGTAATTTGAAATATCGACGTCGCCAATTTTTAATATGTTCGCCGCGTTTCATAAGCCATCCCTCTTTCACAACGTTCCGAGTAAGAGGTAAGGAAACTGGTCTACACTGGAGCATCCCAAGAAGGTATGGTGATATACGCGGCGCCAAATTGTCGGAGTAATTTTCTGTCAGTTCGTTCTTAAATAAGACATTCGGATTGGGGGCTACAGGAAGATGGGCATGCTGAAGACTACTAAAGATATTTGAACTGGTGCAATTGATATTTCGTCGCTGAGAAGCAGTGGTATCTTGCACTTTGGATGATACTGGGACTGGTTCATGCTCCATGTGACTGCTTTTCGACGAACCAACCACTGGATTTTGAGAGTAATTGCACAAAATCTCCATTACTCAGAAAATCTGCAGTCTAATAAAAAACGAATTTCAATGGACTGAAAACTTGTACCGCTACAAAGATAACTTATCACTGACAAAGGTATCAAAGTTACCTCTAAAACTTGATATTATTCGAATAATTTACTCGAAGTCGTACTGCTTTGCTCAAAGCTCTAGACAACAACATTGATTAGAAAACACATGATGTATTATTTAAATGTCAGATGAAAAGCACCCTGAAGCTGATGATTAAGAGTCTACAATTAAGATCTTCCTAGTTTAACACCAAAAAACATCACAAGAGAGAAACTTTCTAGAGTAAAATTTAATTTAACTTGAGCTTTGGCGAATGGTAGAACGGACACACATCAAGATTCGCACAAAGTATTTATAACTTGAAGACTTTATATGTTTTGCGGGTAACTACTTGTTGAAAGTTGCATGCATTATGGGATAGGTGTAACATGTCAAAACCACCCTGGTTAGTACAGTTAAACCATAAACTTCATCAACTTGTAAGACCATCTCCCTAAATAAATCTAGCTTTCGTTGAAATATGAACGATACCCCAAATGTATTTATTGTGAGACATATACAGTATGATGTCCGACTTTAACGTTCTTATTTGCTGAGTTGTATCCTCAGCTTTTAAATGATGTTCGTACACTTCGAAATGCTGGAAAGATAAGGTAAAATGTCAGGTAATGCCAGAAAACTCGTTTCGATGCTTTTGTTGACTACTAGTCTATCTAATATTATCCAAACACCCGAATAAAGTACTAAAGGATTATAACCGTTTAACCTGGTATTGTCATATCAAGATTTAAACATACCACGTTTGGCTGCATGAAAAACTGACGACAGATGAGTGTTTTAATATATCAGTGTCAAGAATATGATGAAATAGACTATATTAGTAATTATTAGGTATAACACTATAAGTACAAAAGAGACAGTTTAGTTGTTTCACAGAAATACTAAGTGACCCTGGTACTAAGCAATAACACGGCATAAAAAGTACAAATCACACAATGAGATTAAGAATATCCGAAGATTGCACTCAGTTGTACGATTGCAACCATAAAGTATTTCGATAAGTAATTTAGGGTATAATGTGGATGTGTAGGCAAGGGGCTAAAAGTGATTATATTAAGATAATAATATCGGATCATGAAGGCACTAATATTAAGTTGTTTGGGCAGGTGCAAGATAAGTTGAGGTAAACATTAAGGGTGAACATTTCGTAATATTTCTTTTTTTCTGAGAATGAACGAGTGTATTATTTGGACTTACTGTTTATATTCAGGAGTTAATGTAAACATGTTAAAAAACAAGTGCATATTTTGGATGATGGGTGATATCCGCACAGTCGTCTACTAGTGCACGTCAGTAGTTACGGAATCGAATAGGAACAAGTTTATATGAGTATAGCTGCGATGAACAGTGACAGTTCGCTTTTTTGGGTTTTAATTATTAACATACAATCCGGGTTTAATTTGGCTAACCCAACTTCCATTTGGGCTACCATACAAGCCATCAGGTAGAAAAACTACATAATTTAATAAGTTGCTCAGTCAAGAAAGACAAATAATATTCCGATCAGAGTAAACAGCAGGAAGGTACAGAGTTCTACAAACTCATGCAAAGACTAGATTTTATTACCAAGGCAAGGAAATAGATATAGGCGATGGCGAAAAGTTAGAGGAGAGAATAGGAAAATAGGTTAGCATGAGGAGTTAAGAATGCGAATTAGAAATACTCATTGATTGCAGCAACAGAAAGATACATTAGGGTTGTTTAAACTGGTTTTAAGTGATACTACTCGAATGGATGCGACCCAGTCGGAATGTTTACGTTTAAGCGGTAAAGTGGGTGCAACTAGATATGGGCGGTAGGTGGGAATAGATACCAACAGACACTTCTGTACATGTACAAAATATTACTCAGATCTCTGTACCCCTCACAAATAATTGGCATACAAGTCAGAATTTATGATGAACGTGTTTTAGATCTAAAATAGCGAAATGACAACTTCAAATAAATATTATTTGAAAAATATACATACGCCGAAATAAACTGGGGATATCAAGAGCTATTTCGTACAGAAAAAGGCCCGAAACGGACTCAAAACAATAATTAAGCTATATGTTATAATAAATATATGCTGTAAAATGACCTTAGAATTAATGTTTGAAACGAAGCTGACCCTTTGAGTTTGATAGTAATTACAGTAGAATATCGTTATTTGAGAAGTATTTCACTTAAGTAACCCTATGGGACATTAAGGATCTGCACTTTCCATGGATACATCTTTTGTGAAAAAACACAGTGAGCACTTACCAGCCCTACAGTCTCATTTATTCATGAGGAAATCCATCTGCTCATATCAATCTACACATTTTAGAGGTCGTGGAACAGTTCAAAATTAAAGAAGATACTTGTAAAAAAAAATGTCGGCAAGGCTCCCATTAAGACCTGCGAAAAACATTCCGCAGATCCTTGTGATGAGCTGTTAGTCATGATAGTAGTCCTCAACAAATGACACCTGACAAATATAAGCATCGTAACATCACTTTTTCGAGTTACACGTTTCATACAGGATAAATACTCACTTTAGACAGCATAGAACCTTGAGTAAATTGTCTATCAAGTATAGCTACAGATTGAGCAATTACTGTTCTACGGTACTTCCTAGTTTAATCAGTTGAAATGTCATGACGCACGAACAATCAAAACTTTGGGGTGGTATTATTTGGTTCTGAGAATAATATGGAATCCAGTGTGCACTTGCTATTATAATATCTTTTCAGTTACGTTCCGCTTAACCATATAGCCCAGAGCTCTAGACTAAAGTAAGTGAATATGAAAACTAAACAGTGTTCAACTTTTTGTCTAACTGGAAAGTAATGTCGCCTTAGTCGTCGCTTCAGCAATTCCAGTAATTATATCGAGCAGGACTGAATTGCCGTGTTCAGTAGCTCTAAGACAATAGTGACAGACTATTCACATAAACACGAATGACGATCGTTCAGGAAAAGATGTCAAAACTATATGCAACATGAAAAAAGACATCCATTATACACACTAAAAAGCGCTATATACCCTCTGGATTAAATCACACGAACCACTACATCAATATTTGCGATGCCCGGACAAAAATCTGCTTGACCAGAAGTTTGCGGGTAATTATTAGGTCATGTTTCCGATTTCTAATAACCCCACAACCTCAAACTAATTTTCAAAAACAAACTGACAACTTATGGACTGACCTCGATAACAAAGAGTAGCAAACTGTTCCTATCAAAAATGTTAAGGCGATTTCCTGTCTCCAGCTATTAGAAAAACGAACGGACTACTAATGTATGCATCCTCTTGAAAAATCTTATACACTGTTCCTACGGATCTAGTTAGACCATCGAACTTGCAACTAGCGCTTAAGACTTGGCGCCTCCCAGTTTTAGTGGGCCGTCCTGTTTAAAATTGTGTCAGAGAGTTGTGGGAGAATCCTTAACTTTAAGAGCTATAAATCTAGCATCACATCTTCGAGTCACTAAATAAAAATCGTGGGTCGATGCGTGCTTAATGCTGTTGGAACCGTAAATTACCACCCCCATTAAATAGTTGTGTAAACATTTGACAGTGTTAGCTCTAACGGACACTACTAGCTATGTGTGCCCAAATAAGCGTCGTGTTCATACTATGATACAGCTTGATCCAAGACGAGTCCCCCCTAGACTACCAAACTGGAAGTCTCACATTCCTATATTTCCACCCACGTACATGTATAATTTAGCTCCCAGAAATTCTCAGCTTTTTTCATCTTCGTGTTTGAAGTATCATCCCCGGTAAGTTAGGTCGACTAGTAGGTTATAGTGTAGTAGATCTGTGTCAATGACCGGGATTAACGCATTAGCAACAACAAAGATCTGGTAGATGTGCCTGTGCGAACTCATATTTAAGTAGACGTATTTGTGCTGTATGTGAAGATCAATTGTCCTTTTTCCCTCTGTAAATTGAAGAGTGTTCTATGAGATGGCTAGTATTCACAGGGGGGTTTATAACGTCTGCTCCAGTGTCGATGAATGAATAAACCTTCGTCATCAAATATATGATGTATAACAGACAGTTGTTTCGTAATGACATACCTGCAGTGATAAATAAATCTCCTAAATAAACAGCTCTATAGGTCTTCAACACTAATGCTTATCTAATAAGTTTTACTGGGCACAACCTGGATAAAGGCCCTGTCACCCCCCCCACCAGACCAAGAGCTGGTACTCCAATGACACAGATGACCGATTAGAATACCAAGGATTATATTGTAAGTCAAATTGGATAAAATAGCCAAGTGGCTTCGTCTTATTAAATATATGGATTTAACCATAGTTTTTTATACAACATTATGAACTAGAGGGTACATACCACGCTGAATGCCCCAGATTGGAATTCCATAACAGTGAACAGCTCTCATTATATGATTACTAGGCTGCTAGGCAGAAGACTTCAGCCTAACGATACTCAAACTGTTTACATCTCTGTCCAAAGACTCTCACCCTATTTTTTCATATTATCCAAATTTCATAAAACCCGAACTCAAAATCAAACAGGTTCTGAGGCGCATAAATATACAAAAATTCTCTGGCTCATGTGGTATACGACTCAGATTATTGAGTGTGTGGGCTTTCTTTGCTTCCTTCTTATTACTTTGTCAAAGATTTCATTAATGAAGGGCATATTACCTTTAGATTAAAAAAAGAGAATAGTTATACTGACCGGAGTGTCATTAGGCTGTGTCCTTAAACCACTACTATTCCTGCTGCTTACAATCAACCTGCGTAACCTTCTAGACTGTCGAATTCTCCTTTAAGTAGGTGATAGTGTAGTCTGAAGGTGAATAGTTGACTCAGATGATGTTTAGACTCTCTGAAAATAATTATATTGGACGTATCACTGAATTAACAATGAATTCCTCCTCTCCCGACATCAATAAGTGGAGAATGCCAGTTGTAAACAGCAGTGATATCCCACCAATCTTAAAATCCCTTGGGAATTCCTTTTGCTAAGTACCAGTCTGTGATACTCTGATCCTATCTTATAATTGGCATTAGGCAGCCGGAAAAAATGATTCGTTTTGAGACATCTTTACAGTAGAGTTAGTTGTCTCACTCCAAAGTTAATAAAAAAGCTATTTTTGGTGTTTGCCTAAAACTTCGTTTTGAAAAATACTACCAAGTTATATTCTCTTATCATGAGTAAGATATCGCTCTCCTGGAACATGATCGAAGAAAAGAAGCTAAAAAGGGTTTTGAGAATAACGAACAGAGCCTAGTTGTCTTTCATGTAGTCCATAAAAACACAGTCGGAGGGGTGCATAATAACTAGACAGGATGTGATCACGTTGTTTCACAATCCTCTGAACCATAATAAACCACTGATGTGTTTCGGTAATGAGTCACTTGAGAGGACACTCACTCAAGATAGAACACAAGAGAGCTCCACAAAAATCTATGAAAATATTTTCCCCATTGAACTCTGTAAGTTCTGGAACTCCATATAGAAAAGTGAATTTTTTAAGGGTGTGACAATTACTCTAACTCTGTAGACACTAAGGGAGATTACAGAGCGCTAGCCCTCGATCACTCCCATTATTCACTAAATTATTTTGCACTCCAGTTTCTATGAGAAGTATGACAAAAGTTATATCTCTACGTAGTCAATATCTATTTATAAGAGGACCACAAGGAACAAACAGTCCACTAGATCTACTGACCAATCATGAAATCCATTTCAGCTTCATTTTGAAAAGGACGAGAGGCTATGTGGTATGTCATAGTCTTGGCAATGGTGTTCTCTCAGCCTATCCAGCATCGGCAGATGAATTTTCAGTCACGTGTTAGGATGGTGAGTTCGATTCGTTGATAGTCAACTGGCAAGTAATTTTTTTTGGCTTGTGACGTTTTTAGAGTGTCCTCGTAAATTCCGTTTTGAAAGATAAAAAATTGGAGGCATATCATATGCAAATTTATCACTGAATAGTTTACAAACTATGGTCAGGTTGCATCTGCTTCTTCTATATGACAGTGGAAATTGGTCAAGTTTAGCCAGTCGAGCATCATACGGGAGCTTTGATATTCCTGGAATCAACTTAGTTGTGGTTCTTTAAAGCTTTTCAAACAAATCATTATCTCCATTTAGTCGGGGGCTAACCACTTGTATTCAGTTTTTGAGTTTAGGACAAATGAATACTGCAAACAAAGTCAAGATTTTGGCATCCATATGGCTAAAGACCCTACGTATTGATCATAGGGTTCCCAAACCTGTGATGGATATCGTAATGCAGTGTGTAGAGATTATCAAGTCTTGTCGAACGATGAATCCTAAGCCATGGTGTGTCTGGACGACAGGTAGATCAATGTTATTCACCGTGTATGCATCTGTATCTTGGTGACCAATATGCATCACAGTGCACTTGGAAGAATTTATCAACAACCGTCAAATTTCAGACGATTTAGACAAGTTTACAAATAATTTTAAAGCTCTAACCCAACACCTTTATTTTATTGCTCTTCATATCGTCAGCATATAGCAAGACAGGTGATAATATAAGAATGAGAAGCCATTTACAAACAAGAGAAGCAACACTGGCCTCGAAATTGCATCTTGAGGCACTCCGCTTATCACAGCTTTCCAGCCAGACATCTTCAAGTTCGTCCGTACCCTTTGTTGCTGTCTAACTAGTAAGTCCTTTATCTTCACTAATAAATCGCCTTCAACCCATATATATCACTTAACTTATATAACAGTCGGTTGTGGGTAAAATTGTCAAAAGCTTTGCTGAAGTCATTATGGGCTTTGTCTGCAAGCAACTTTTATTCTTTACGAGCAAACGAATTCTCACAGACTACTAATAAGTTATTGAGACAGAAACAACCAATTCTAAAGCCATGTTGCTTTCAAGGAAGAATCTTATATTCGTTGGGATATTTAAAAAGCTCCCGAATAATCTTTTCTAATATTTTGATAACCACGCTGGTTAGGTCTGTGGGTAAATTGTTTTTGCGCTTATATCTCGCACCTGCTTTGAAGGCAGGATTTACAATGGCGTACGTTTGTCTTTCGGTAATCGACCATGGGTTACAGATAGATTGAAACATTTGCCTAATGGATTCGCGACGAAATTCGCTGATTTACTTAGTAACCTAGGTTTCATTTCGTAGAGTTTGATTGGTTTGCCTATATCAAGCTCATTAGGCAGACCAAAAATATCAAGTTCTTTGTTGGTCACAGTGTCCATTATGTGTGTGAGGATTGGTATAAACTAAAGGGGAAGACGTCTCTACGGTATATACACTGCTTTTGAGGTTTCAGGTTACCGGGGCTTCATCCTAATCGTTTTCCACTAATGATGCAGTACTACTGTATATACATGATTCTGGAATATTTCCTCTTCTCATATTCCATTGTATTATGTATGAGTATATGCATTTAGGGCATTCTATAGACTCCGCCTGGAGTCCCTTCGGGGGCTACTGCCGGTCCCAAGTCCGGATAAAGGAGGAGGGTTGGGCATGGGGTTAGCGTCCCCATCCCGTAGAAAACTAACTCGCTAAAAAAACGCTAACCAGAAAAAATTATCCAAACCTTTTAAACTCCGCCCGTGAGTCTGAAGGTCTTCATTTAGAAGAACTGTGACGCCTCATGGTGAAAACCGAGTTCCTTCAAAAGCCACGAGGCTGATGTTCATTCTGACAATCAGAGCGGCCATTTATTTAGGTACAGGGAATGTTCGTACAATGTGGGACACCAGGAGAGCCCTCCAAATTGCTGATGAACTGAAAAGATACAACCTAGAGGTGCTTGGGATCAGTGAAACACATTGGATGCAAGTTGGACAACAACGACTAGCTTCAGGGGAGCTTTTGTTATACTCCGGCCATGAAGAAAAAAATGCTCCACATACACAAGGAGTTGCATTGATGCTATCCAAACAAGCACAAAATGCACTTAAAGGATGAGAATCTCATGGATCAAGGATCATCAAAGCCTCATTCAAAACAAAGAAAAAGGGCATTTCAATGAACATCATCCAGTGCTATGCGCCTACCAACGACTACAATGAAGACGCTAAAGATCAATTCTACAATAGGCTGCAGTCAATCATCGAGAAGTGCCCAAAAAAGGACCTAACCATTCTGATGGGAGATTTCAACGCCAAGGTTGGAACGGACAACACTGGATATGAAGACATCATGGGACGACATGGACTGGGAGAAAGAAACGAAAATGGTGACAGATTTGCAAACCTATGTGCTTTCAATAAACTGGTCATAGGTGGCACCATATTTCCACATAAACGCATTCACAAAACCACATGGACTTCACCGGATCACACCACGCAAAATCAAATCGACCATATTTGCATCAACAAAACGTTCAGGAGGACTATAGAGGAC